CGTCATCACCGCGATGTCATCACCGTGACGTCATCACCGCGATGTCATCACCGTGACGTCATCACCGCGGCGACAACAGAGTGGCGACAGAAGGGCTCTTTAAAACAACGCGGCGGCAGAAAGCCGATTTAAATTAAGGTAAGGGTTAGGATTAGATTTAGGGGTTTGGTTTAAGTGCTCTTTAAAACAGCGCGGCGGCAGAAAAACAGCGCGGCTCTTTAAAACAGCGCGGCGGCAGGTTTAGGGGTTTGGTTTAGGTTTAGGTTTAGGTTTAGGGTTAGGGTTAGGGTTAGGGTTAGGGTGCTGAGTGCTTCGGAAGGCGCGGATTTGCCCTCCGCAGTTATGTCGTCGCGCTAGAGTCGCCTTTTTCCTTAGCGCTTCGGACGGCGCGGATTTGCCCTCCACGCTTATATCGGCGCGGATAAGGGCTTCGCGGTTTTGTCAGTGAACCAAAATGAACCCCCTTTAACCCTTATAAAATTACTTTAGTGAGATGGGAGGGACCAGTATTGGATCCAGCAATCAATAGATCTCTTCTTTGGTGCCCTTCTCATCAGTGGCAAAACTGTCTAGATTGGGGAAAAAAATGATACCAGAATACCGTTCGGACACTGCAAAGCTATCCACCAAGATTAAGTAAAAGGTAAAGATTCCCCTTGCACATACAGTATGTGCTAGTCGTTCCCGACTCTAGGGAACAGTGCTCATCTCCATTTCAAAGCTGAAGAGCCAGCGCTGTCCAAAGACGTCTCCCTGGTCATGTGGCTGGCATGACTAAATGGAACGCTGTTACCTTCCCACCAAAGGTGGTTCCTATTTTTCTACTCGCAGTTGTACATGCTTTCATGTAGGTTGGCAGAAGCTGGGACAACTAATGGGATCTCACGCCATTACACGGCATTGGGGATTTGAACTGCTGAATTGCCGACCTTTCTGATCAACAAGCTCAATGTCTTAGCCGCTGAGCCACCGCGTCCCACCAAGATTAAGGTGAGTCATTTAAATCCCACTTACTAAAAGTTAGTAGGACCTTTCCAAATGCTGTAAAATTAGTCAAAGCAAACAACTGCTGAATTCAGAGACAGAGGAACATTAACCAATACCTATGAGGTACTCATAGGATGTGGTGACGCAGAGGCTAAAGGATGCTGGATGTGCTGAGCAATTGCCAGTACTCTGGTGGTCCAAGTGCAGCTCCATGGGACAGAGTGAGCTCCCATCTCTTGTCTCTANCCCCCCTCCCCGTTTCAATGGCAGCCGAAGCAGCAGAAAAGCAGAGGCTGACACTATCTATCTATCCATATATGTATTTATCTATCTATCTATTTTTACCTCTACATCTCCCCCCAATAAATGTCTTTCTCCCCCTCCCTCCCTCCCTCCCTCTACGCCTCCCTCTCTCACCTTCCTACCTACCTGTCCCAATGATCTGAATAAATATTGCATTGCACCATGAGCAAGAGGAACATTTAAATTTTGCTTGTTAAAAACATTCGAGGGGATATTGATATGAAGAATAAAATGAAATGGCACCCAAAGGTTAATAATAACCACGATCATGTATTGCATTTGAAGATTCTGAGACTGGGAAGCAATTTCATACTTGCAGAAGACTCCATCTCAAGTTTCCCTTTTCTATTTCAAAGCACAGCCGAAGACGTAGATTGAATAAATAGCTCAAATAACTTTTTATGAGGCATAGCCAGCTTCCCCCATTGCAGACTGCAGAGATATGGATAATGCTCTTTTCAATTTCCCAAACTTCATGAGCCTCTACCATTTTGATGTTTCTCAACTTTGGGTTTACTTTGATTTGTTGGCTGTGGGCTTCAAGCAGTAGGGTGGTGCCTGGAAGCAATGAGAATCACTATACAAAACATTGGAGCATTAAACTTGGGATATTATTATTTAGAGTTTTAGTGTTTTGAAGGGCACTTTGCCACTCTGTAAGTTACACTAGACTTCTCTAAGATAAAAACCTGTGTGCTTCAATTTCAGGCAGATCCCAGTTCTAGCGTAAATCACGTGAATTTGGCTCAGTTTTTAAATCCCTTGAAGAATTTAATCTCTTTGATCTCTAAGTCGCTTTCTTCATTCAGAATCCATCATGAAGCTTCATGTCTGGTGCCCTGCTGGACTTCAAATAGGATAGCATAGTGGTGCCAAGGAGTTAAAATGAACCGTGGCCCGACAAAACCACGCTCNGAAATGGATCTCCATTGTATATTCCATAGGCTGAACCACAGAATATAATTGTTAAAGTTAACAAAATCCAAACAGCAGCAAAGTAAAATTAAAGTTTTGCAAAATTAAAAATGCCGTAACAACCCTTCTTTTCCTCTACAAAACTGACCATGGCAATGAGTTTTGTTTTGTTTTGAAACCACGATATTGATCTTTAATGAGGTTGTTGCCTTGGTCTTTGTTTAAGTACATTTATGTGGGAACTTCACTTGTCCACTCAGGTCTGACCCTCACCCTAAGTAGTTTCTTTAATAAAGAGGGGAAAAAATCCATCATTGATGTAAAATGATTAAACACATCCATAAGGAAAACGAAGTAATTATTACGCTTGTCATTCTGACATTCTTTAATAAGTTGCGACATCACGTTCTGAAATGCAACGCTTTAATTCATGACCTAGCAGGATGTAGCTGGGAGTCTAGGCAAAATCTGCAAAAGGCAACGCTCGTTGAAAGCTGTGCCTCTCTTTTTTATCAGCACGGCTACGTTTCACAAAATGCCTAATTGTTGCTGATTAATCTACGAAAGGAACGAGGGTTCCTCCAGGGCTCTGCCGTGGACACTTCAATTCCCGGCTTATTTGTACAGTGTTTCTCCGGAAATCTGTCAGCAGCCCTGCTTAGGCTTTGTACTTGACAAAACGCTGCCCAAATCCAGCACCCCTTCCCGGTCAGGGTTTGTATTCTGGTGACCTTAGTGCCAGAGCTAAAAGCAGTGCGCTAACGCCACACAAAAAGGCAGAACTCCCGGGGTCTCTCCCCTCCTGCACTTTCTGACTTGCTGGCGCCCTGCAATTTCTAAAGCAATCAGTCCTTCCTTTTCATCCGACTCTGCCTCTGCAACCTCTCTGCCTGTGCGTAGATCCGAAAGAATGCCAGAGAGAGAGAGAGAGGGAGAGAGAGCAGCGCTCTCCCTTTTTTCTCTTCCTAACGGGGAATAGATCTGCCTGTTTCTAAGCCCTTAACCCATCTCGGTTGTAGCCCGCGCCGAATCGCAGAACGCAGCAGCGGTGGCAACAGGGAACCTCGGCCGAGGGGATGGCAACAAGCAATCCGCCAACAACAACAGCAACAACAAAATCCGCCAGACCCGAAGAGAGGACAGCCAAGACTTACCTTCCGCCAAAAGGCGCATTGCATGAACAAAGGACAGGTCTAAGCTATCCTTCTCAGCCATCAGCTCGGGTAAATATTTCTCTTGCTCCATGCTGGCTTCGCCCACACTTTGGACCGGCTGCCCGCCCAAGGTAGCGCAAGGAAAGGGAACTCGCTCCCTAAAGGGCTTCGTTGGCTTCGGATTCGTCTCTTGCCCTTCTGTGCTTGGAGTTGGGACGGGGGCTCACTTCCCCATGTGCCTGGTGGCGGTCGCGGGTGCGCCGCTGCTTCAGGACCTTGGACAGCGCGCCCCGCTGCCGCCGCCGCCCCTCCGCCGCCTTCCTCTTCGCTCGCTCCTTCTCCAAGCGCGTGTGTTGGGTCGCCCGTCTGGGTGCGCTTCCCCCCCTCCCACCCCGCACTGAGCCACGGTCTCCTACCGTACCAGAAGCCTTAACAAGGGAGGTGGGATGACCAAGGCTTCCTCCCGCCTCCGTCGCTTTCTCATTGGGGAAGGCGCAAGGGAAAGGTGGTGAGAGACAGGACCCAACGGCCGCGGGATTGGCTCCGGCTCCCGCCCAGCCTTCTGACAGGCGTCTGAAAAACCCACGGCCGCGGCGAGATCTGTGACAGATGAGCCAAGGGGGGCGGGACAAGGCAATCCACTCGCTGTCCAGGGTGCTGAAGTAGCGAGAAGGACGGAGCAACCTCTCGAGCCAACATCGGGGAAGGACTGCGGATCGAAGCCGGAGCTGAAATCCGCAAAGCTTCCCCTTTTCACCCGACTATCATTGGTCTGGATAACTCATGTTCTCGGCTAGATTAATTAGAAAAAATCTTTGAACGATTGGCTTGTTATTCGGGTTTCATCGGCTGCAAAACCATCCACGTACCATGGCTATATGGTGTAGTTTGATTAACAGAAACAGTCTTCAATCTCTGGAGCCCTTTTGTTGTTCATGTTTATTTGTTTACTTAGCACGGAACAACAATTATCCCCCCTTCCTCCGTTCTTTTGTTATATCTATAAAAGGGGGAGGAATGCTTGTAAAGAATGAAACACTCTTAAAAGTGGGTGTTCCTTGCTACTGCTTTAATAAATCAATGAGTTGAATGCCTCTTTTCCACGTTAGTGTCTTAGCATCACTGGCTCTTCAGCTAGTCCAGAATGCGGCCGCGCGAGCGATCGTGGGTGCACCTCGTTTCACCCACATAACACCTATCCTCCGCGAGTTGCACTGGCTACCTGTTGNAAACCAATTTTTGATCTGTTTTCCACCTGGCCTGGAACCATGTTTGAATTACCTTTTCCTCTTTTAATATATCTAAGGATTTTAGTTGTAATACACCCCTTTCTAGGGTAAGAAGCTGTCTGTAAGTAATTTATTATAACTTTGGAAACATTCTTGGTATTCTTGTCAGGGGTAGGTGCCACCTGTAAAACATCTTATACAAATTTTCTTTATACAGGTGAAACTCGAAAAATTAGAATATCATGCAAAAGTTCATTTATTTCAGTAATGCAACTTAAAAGGTGAAACTACTATATGAGATAGACTCATTACATGCAAAGCAAGATAGTTCAAGCCGTGATTTGTCATAATTTTAATCTTTTAATCTTCTCTCAGTTTAATAACAAAGCCTCACATATATAATGTCTTCTGAAGTACCCCTCGGGGGCCTATATTTTAATTCAGTTAAATCATCCACAAAATCACAGTCAGGGAAATGATATTGAGGGAGGGGAGATACTGCATTCTTGACTATTGTTGCTTGATCAGATCCCAATCAAACTTTCCATGTCCAACAAATCAGATGGATATCAGGCTGGAGAGAGCTGTGGCAAATGAATGCTTTTGGTTCCTCCCCATAAAACTTTCAGTAGCAAGTGGTGCTATTGCAGAAAGGAGTCACAACCCTTAGATAGTTCCACCCTATACACATTATTTCTGTAGCATAGTGGAAGAACACATGGTAGCAGGTCCATAAAGCAGTAGTAGTAATATCTGTATCAGGCCTATGACCATGGTTTCAGAAAAGCAGAGAACATGCAATTCAGTTTACCGTGCGTCCCTCACATTGTGAGCTTACACAATCTCAAGTTTGATTTTGGATAAATGCCTCTATCTAAAGCTGATATTAACCAGCTACATCAAAACGAAAGAAAAAACTGCTGTTATATCTGATTAGTCTACATCTTTTATTCTATAATGGCCAACCAGATGCTCCCATTCCTCACAAGCAGGACACAAAGGCAGAACTCTTCTCCTTCTACTGTTTTTTAGCAGCTGATTTACAAAGATATGTTGCCTCCAGTATATAATTATGACAGATAGTGATGAGTTTAATTGGATGAGATGGGATGGGAGCAAAAGGCATATGATTGTTAGCATCAGTTCAGTAAAACTGATACAAAGATATATAGCCAAGTCTTCAGTCAGCATACCCAAAGTGGTTACTGAATTCACCCACTTTGTAGCTTCATGCAGGACATTGAATTTTAGACTATTTGTAGCTTCATGCAATTTGTAGCTTCATGCAGGACATTGAATTTTAGACTAAGCCAACAGATTTGGTTCCCAAATCTGTTGATAAACACACACACCCTAACCAATGTTAGCAAGTTATCAACTGATATGGTTGTGTTGCAGAAAATGACAGGCTTTAGACTTCTCAGGATACAGGAANAGACATTAAACAGATAAGAGTATTGTGATGAGAGTGAAGAAAAGGAGGGAGGGCGGGAGGGAGGGGGGGAGGGAGGGAGGGAGAGAGAGAGAGAGAAAGAGAAATGGTGCATTTGCATTGTGAAATAAGGCTCAAACTATTGTATAAACGATGGTTTGGCGTTCCTTTTGAACAAATAAAAGTTAGGGTTTGTAAAGAACAGTGCTCCACTCTCATAGGCTATGGATTAATCCTTTGAGATTTTCAAGGATGGAATAACAAGAAATCAAACAAATTAAAGTTTATCTGAAGGTTTTTTTTGGGGGGGGGGGAGTAGAGAAGTGACTGGAAGTTTAAAATACAAAAATAGCTTGGCATTATGTGCAAATCTATCCAGTAATGTAAGTAAAATATCTGCAAAGTTAATTGGGCTGTGTGTACAGTGTAGACATTTGTAGCTCTTATGTTATCTCTAAATTTAAAGGAATGTGATTGCTAATGATTTGCTAATTTCCTTCATTTCGTTCTGTATCTTACAGATTCTGAGTTTAATTTCTATTCTGTGATCACTAGAACCAGAGGAAGAAAGCTTTTTAGGAACTCACATTCACTCATATTTGCAAAAGGATGTACCTATGATTCTCTGGTATTATAAATCCTTTAACCTGATTTGCTGAATCATTATAATGACTCCTATATGCAGACCATCCTTTCGTTGTGAAATTATTGGAATTGAAATTATTTTCCATTAAAAATAGGATTACATAGTTAACTAGATTTAATCTTCAAAGCTGATATTATAAAATTAAATACTATCTATATAATGATCAGTTATCACCCAAACTGTTTTGTCAGTTCATTGCTTTCCACTCATCAGATCAATGCCCCACTATTTTAAAGGCTCATGGCACATGATCATATGTGTAAAAGAATCACATATATATTTTATATTTTCCTGAAAACCTAGGAAGCAAAGCTTTTCTAAAAAATACAAAAACTGAGACTTTCTGAATTTTAACCTCATTTATGAACTGTCCATAAAAATATTACAAACACCTCCTGCTTCCTTATGTACACAAACTGAAGAGCACCAGTTCAACCTCAAAGATGGAACACACCTGATAAATAGCTTCATCACAGGCATTCTGCAGACCCAGGTTCACCATTGTATTCTGAAGTGTTCGGCCCATGTAGAATTCCAGAGACAGGTAATAAATACGCTAGGAAACAAGAGGGGGAAAAAGACAAGAGTTTATATAATCTAATATGTTTTGCACCCTGAGCCATGAGTAGGCGACAACTCCATTTACGGTATATTATAGAAACCATACAGAAAGCTTAGGAAAAATATCTGTGATATTTGTATCTCTCCTATTTCATCCTATTTTTGAGGTCAGTGGGATTGAGAGATAATGGCTAGTCTAGACTTAACCTATGCTTTAGTGGGGATTTGAACCAATGTCTCACTAGTCTCAGCCCAACATTCCAGCCAATATATCACACAAACTCTACTTTGGGACCACCGAGAAAGTAATGATGCAACCCTTCATTTCATTTTTGCCACAGGATTATTGTATATTCTGTACTGTAGATTCCATAAAAGCACAGGACTGCAGCTACATTTCAGCAACCTGGAAAAATACCTTCCCTGCATATATGTTCCCTCTATGGGTCTGTCCATGTGTGTATGCATTGTGTGGGTGTCTGAGAATCTAATTAGGTCAGGTTTGGATGTGCTACCTTTTTACACGGGTATTCCTATGTTTTACCCTTGTTTCATTTATGTGAACTGGTATGTATGTGTATCCTGGGAAGGCCAGAGTTGACTGCATATGCTCCATTCTGAGTGACGTAACTGAGGGGGCTTAGAATGGAGTTGACAAGTTGATAATTCTGCAGCAATATTTTGGGTTGTCTTTTCAAGAAAGTTTTCTCTGCAATGTTTGGTAGGGTCTCACCCATCTACAAGTTCAATCTTGTGCTAGCTTCTGCTCTCTTACCTAATTTGGTCTCATTTTGGAGTTTTTTTGGGAGGGGGGATTATTCTGATAACTTAGTCTCAAGCCCCTTTGCACATTTTACAGGTTTACCAATTCTTCTCATTGGACTGGGAAGTGTTTAAAAAGGAGGAAAGGGCTGGAAATACGTGTGGAAATACAATAATAACTTATATGTTAACAAATTAAGTGTATCAGCAATTCATATCTGCATACCAAGTGTAGATTCATCTGTCCACCAAGGAACATAACATTCTTTTTTTGGACATCTCCATGAACAAAAAAGGTCTTGATCTACTCTTATAGAGACCAAATAGAGACATCCACAAACCTTGATAATTTGAAATATTTATTTTATTTATTTATTTATTTTTTATTTTATTGACATTTATAGGCCGCCCTTTTCCCT